GCTCGAGATCTTTCTGATTTCCCGACGAAAATCTCATCACTCCTTTAATTTCGGCACTAGCCATTTTTAACCGAGTGACATCTGTCATCATTATGACCGTATATTGATTAATTACTATTAAAACGGGAAAAACCTTCCCACTACCCACACGACTCCCGAGGCGGTTTCATCATTAGCTTGAGGTAACTTCTTTTCACCATTACTCTCTTCTTTTACTTTTGTACTTTAATCAAAACCTCTCTCTTCGTTCCTTCACCAAAACCCTTCTTCGCCGGATCTTGAATTTTTCTTTCTTATCAATGACTTCTGATTCCGATAGACCCGAGTCTCCGTCTTTTGACGAGAGGCGTTCTAGTAACGATGAATGCACCCGCCCTGGTGACATCGCCGGTCCGCACTATAGGTCCACTTGTACTCTTCAATCCCTCGAGCAGTTGAAAGAGCTTTGCCGGATTCCGCCGGAAATTATGGCGGAAGCACAAATAGCTTCCCCCACAGAATCTCCAGAGAACCATCGCGATGGTTACTTCTGTGTGTATGAGATTTATTTCAAGGGTTGCGGGCTTACCTTTCCTCTTCCCGAAGCCCTAATTTTATACCTAGCGGCTCTTGAAATCGCTCTTCCTCAATTAACCCCCAATCTTCTCCGCACAATTCTCGGCATTATAACAATCGCGGCGGAGGCCGGTTACGTTATCGGAGTTGCCGAATTAAATGAGCTTCTAAGCGTGAGAAGCTCGTCGAAGAAAACGGGGTATTTCTCAGCATATCCTAACGCCAACAGGAACATCATTTCGCATCTTCCAAACAAGGATGAAAATTGGCATCATCCTTGGTTCTTGATTAAGAAAACTCCCGCTTCGGTTGGAAATCTCGCAGATTTCCTCCCTTCAAAGTGGTCGGCGAAACCTGGTAGAGATTAGGTCGCCCGTATCTTTGCCGGTTGTTTCTTTATCGTTATTAACTAACATCGTTGTTTCATTTCGCAGCTTTCATCGCTTCCAATCTCCCATCCGAAGAGTTCATCGAATTCTTCAAAATAATTCTTGAAGGAGAAACCCTTTGGAATTCCTTCACTCTCGAACGATTCATAGAGGCTAACCACAGACTCAGGATGAGTCCGCCTGGTCATCTTCACCAAATTCCTCCCCCTCCCTCAACTCAAGGAATGTCATCTCGGGCCCTCGCGGCCAAGCGTAAGTTGCTTTCCAAGCCGATGGCTGAGGCTTGCGAGGAGAAGAAAAAGTTTCTCGCGACCTCTATAGACAAGAAGGACTATAGTAGGACCTTGCTGGTCGATGATGGCAGTACTGAGGGAGCTCGATCTGTCGCGTCCTTCAGATTAACTCCTCGTCGTGACCGTCGCGACTCACGTTCTCCTCGGAGGGATCGATCTCCTCGCCGTGATTCACCTCGTCCTTCACGAGATGATTTTAGTAACGAGCCAATTAAGAACTTGGTTCGCCGAAAGAGAGACAAGTCCTCTCGTAGTGATCTTTCCCCGCAGAGGGAAAAGTCAAGGGCCCGGACTGACCGCTCACCTCGGTCATCCCCTCCTTCTGAACCAATGGGTCCTCCACGACCGGTTGACATGTCTTCCTCTTCCCAGCCTGATAGTGGAAAGACCGCC